ATCCTATTAGACCTGGACCTACGGTTTAAGTGGATTCCGAACCATTACAGACATCCATGGCACCGCCGGGATTCGAACCCGAAACCTGTGGTACCGAGGGCCACAGCGCCAGCCACTCGACCATTCAGGCCCTGTAATACCGGTATTCGCAAGTTTAAATACCGTTTTTTCAGTATTTACTAGAGCTTTACTAGAACTAGTATTTAGTTTACTTTAGAATTCTTATCTGTGAAAGAATTCTTATATGTGAAATTCTTATTCTATAACAAATTCTTATTCTTATTCTATTCTCCACAAAGCTATCCACATTCAGAAGAATTCGGTACAGATTATGATGACACGAATGTCGATAGTGAAAAGGAATTGTCTCTTGAACAAATATTAGAATTGGCGATAACTAAAAAAATTTCAACAAACCAAAATACAATACAGAAATCAGCTATTCAAGGCAATCCGACGCGAAGTAGATTTATTTGAAGATGAGGGATTTAGAGGTAGATACTTGGAAAAAGTATATCGCGCATTGCTAACAGTACCACCCACTAGCGTAGATGCCGAAAGAGCGTTTTCGACAGCTGGTCATTTTTGCACAAAATTATGTTCCAGGCTTAATGATAGTACAATTGATGCACTATGTTTTTTAAGATCACATTTCAAAAATTTGTAAGAGTACCGCAGACTGAATAGTGATATTTACACTTTTTTGTGATTTAAATCAATAAGATGTTCCTTTACTTTTTTTGTGGTTCTTTATATACTGTTATAATTTATAAGTTACAAATTTTTTTGTGATATTTACATGCTCTAATAAAACTGGCAAATAAAACAAAAAAGCACCTGTGTTTTCTTTCTTTTTCTACAATTTCTACTACCGGTATTAAAACCGGTGTCCCGGTATTAAGATCTAAAAAATACCGAATGCCGGTATTGTACATTTGGTCCGATATTGCAATCCCCAGTTGTGAGTGGCTCCTTCAGGTTGAAAATGGGGTCCACGAGAAAATCCTTTGATGGGCGGGACAAACCTATTCTTGTCGGTTGAGACGGTTGATTCACTCCGAGGGTTCTGTCCACACTGAGACAAACCGGTTTATAACTGGTTCGGAAGACGGATTCGCTTGTTCTTGCACTCTCTGCTGGACACCGCTTTAGAAATAGTTGCTATGAAAAAAATGTGGAATTCATCAATAGGGGTTAGTGTACTAATACCTGTAACTGTTGATTTAGGGCTTGAATTCAGGAAATAGCAAAATACATCATCATACCACTTGCATCATATATTAGTATATCTTTGTCACTGAACTCCTTCTAAACGGCTCGGGCAATTTTGATGAATTTTTTTCTATTTGTTTGAGTGAATCCCTGAAAGGTTTAGATCAGAGGTCTCCAAACTTTCCAGCCATAGGTCCATACTGTTTACTCCAGTAAGTACCAAGGGCCAAAACCGTTTTACTTTTTCTGCCGTTATCTATAATTTCTAGACTAGTCGCCGAGTACGCGCTCTGAGCTTGCTAACGACGAACTATAGTCAGTGAAAAATCACAATTACATAAATCTCATTAGTATTTTTTTTGCAAGTGGATACCCCGCGGTTTCATTCGCGTTCATTTAACTTTTTCGTTCCTGTGGGATTTTCAGGATAAAAATCATACGTTTGATTCAGGATATATACATTTCAAACCTCGGTATACATACATATGCGATACTCTTTACCCCAACATAACTACCGAGGGTAACCGCGGGATGTTCACTCGTTTATAATGTTAGTGGGATTCATTTCAATTATTTGTTAGTTGTTGTGCTTAAGTTACATTTTCTGCGTATTATGCTTGTCATTAAGCTTTACCAGGAAGTAAATAAAACCGAGTTATTATCATTCTGTGTTTTTTTTATCCAAACTTATTACAGCAACAATAAGCTATTCGCTGTCGCGGGCCGGATTGACGACACTGGCGGGCCGGATTTGGCCCGCGGGCCGTAGTTTGGAGACCCCTGGTTTAGATTCACAATTGGACCCGGTATGTGGCGCTGCAATCGGATTCTTCTGTACGTGTGTTTGTCACTGGCCTGCTCCTCAACGGCTTGACCGATTTGAATGAAATTTTTTGTGTGTGTTTGACAAAACGTGGAGAATATTTTTATGCTATCTCCTTTGTTGTTAGTCGCCGCCAGAGGGTGCTGCAGTCTATCCACTTCTATACCGTTCAACCCCCGCTTTGAAAACTGGTAATAATACGTATTCGAGTATGGAAAATAGCTTCCCGCTATCCTCTTTCTGGTTACTTGCCACCAGAGGGTGCTGCAGCATTTCATCTTATGTACCGTTCAAACGATATCCGTGAAAATGAATATGCACATATAGTGAAACATGGGGAATATATTCGTGATATGTAAGTTTCTACAATGCATTTTTTTTTTGGCAGGACAACGTATGCCGGACTTCGCTAGTATATATATATATATATATACAGTGAGTGAGAGAGAAAGAGAGAGCAGAAATAATGGGGTTTATAAAGTTTTGAAAGTAGGTATACATTAATTTAAATTATCGTCAGTAAATTATGATTATTTTTTATGGGGTGCTCTCTCATTTTCTGGTTGACTTGTTTTTCATCCTTCTTTTGATTATTTGCATCTGCTTTACGCATATCGAATTCGATTCGATTGTTCTACGTGCTTTTACATTCACCATATTTTTTTTTAATACAAGTAGTTCCGTGTATAAGCCGAGTAGAAACTTTTGCTTCAAAAAATTGAACCGAAGTGCACAAAGTCCATATATAAGTTAGAGAAACTTTTATTTTTTATTTTATTATTATTTTTTTTTTTTTTATAAAAGATGACATAAATTCTAGTACGGAAAAATTGAAAGTGATGATGATATCCGTCCCAATGAGTGAAAGTGAATTAGATGAAATATTCGGGAAATGAAACCTGAAATTCTATTCACATAAAGGAAGCATTTAAAACACTTGAAAATATCTATATTACTTATATTAGCAATCGCGAGTCGAAAACATCTAATAACGATCGAAAAGATAAACAATAGACGCAAGCGATATTAAAACCAGAAACAAAGAATCAATTTGGTCAGATCAGAAAAGAGCTTTATAGTTATTTTCCATTCATAATTCTTTAACAAACTGTTGATAACGCCATCTGATGGCAACAATAAATAAATTTTTTCTATAATTAATAATTACTAATAAGAATTTTTTTGTAATTTTTAACTACTAAAAAAATAATATAGTATGAGATCATTTATTTTTATTGAATACTATAAACTATACTATACTATAGTTTTATACAAACAAATAATATAGTTTTTAAAAACATTATAACGATCTAATAACAAACGATTTGCTATAATAAAATAATGCTTTGTTATAAATACGTTACAATTACAGTTTTAATTAATTTAAAAAGAATTAGTCAGAATTTTTTTCGTAATTTTTTTTTTATTGGAACAGAAAAGATATTTAAAACCAACATTTACCAGTTTGATAAAGAATGAAATTGTTAGAAAGAAATCTGTGATTTACACACGAAAGCCTCATCTCCCGTTTTATTTTTCCCTCAATTTTTTTGAACCCGAAACTGTGATTTGGTCGAAACATTTTAATTGGTAAAATCGCAATGCAAATTTTTTCATATTTTTTTAACAAAATTGGGTTAATTGGTTGCAATTCATTAGTTAGTGCAGGGGTCACCAAACTACGGCCCGCCAGAAGATTCTATCCGGTCCGCGGATAGAATTTTAATTTGCCGGTCCGAGGCAAATTAAAAGAAATATATATTTATACATTATATATCCATCTCCTTTTCTACTTTCTCAATTTTTGTTCTGCAAAACCAAAATCGACGGAAATAGCAAGCACAGACAGCTTTCAATCGGAAAGGATTTGCAAGTTGAATGAATTGAGTTACATTCTAACAATCATCTCAAGCAGTTGCTTCTAAATATGCCAAAGTTAGAGTTTTACAAATCAATATCGAAAGTAGGTTTCCCAAATTCAATATCTCACGGCCAGAAAATCAGTGCTGTGTTTGCTTCCTCTTATACATGCGAGCAAGTGTTTTCAACTATGAATCTTGGAAAGAATTATTTCAGAAGTAGACTGACAGATGAGCATTTGTGATTCCTTATAGTGAGGTTCTCACTTCGAACCTCACTATAAGGAACTTTTAAAAATGAAATCTCGATTTCATTCTGCTCATTAACATATTTAAATTGTAATACTTGTATATTGTTTTTAAAATTTTAGAAAAATTTTTCTTGGCCTGCCAACCTTTTTTTTTTCTTTCAATTTTTGGCCCGCGACCGAAAAAGTTTGGAGACCCCTGAGTTAGTGCATTTTATTCATTTATTTTACATAAGTTTGTCTATGAACAGTACAACACCATAAAAAAAAAAAAAAAAAAAAAAAAAAAAAAAAAAAAAAAAGAATACCATAAAGAATTCGTCATCCAAAAATTCTCCAGGATAATAGATTTTGTAGGATTAATAGGTTTTATATTAGAAGTACACCTGCCTATTTTGGTGAGATTATGAACAGTTTTTAGGCGGAAGCACATGCACACACTTTGAATAATAAATATATAAATAATGCCTTGTTATAATATAAATATGTTAAAATTATAGATTTATTTAATAAAAAGAGAAAAAAAAATTAGAATTTTTTTTTGTATTAGACAACATTTTATGTTTGTTGTTTGTTGTTGTTTTTCTTATCCCACTTGGCTGGCCAAGCCCACGAGCCCATACATACTCATGATTGAAGGGGAAGGAAGCAGCTTTCTGTTGGGATGGAGCACCCGTAGGTAGAAGCCTGACTTTTGCTCCGTGACGCTCTTACAGTCATAGGAGACCGGGACCCAGGCTTAAAGTGGATTCCGAACCACTACAAACATCCATGGCACCGCCGGGATTCGAACCCGAAACCTGTGGCACTGAGCGCCAGGGTGCTAAACACTCGGCCATTCAGGTCCCAAATTTGCCAACGGCCCGCAGTGTTCCCAGGTGGTCACCCACCCAAGTACTGACCGCGCCAAGTACTGATGATGCTTGACTTCGGCGATCTAACGAGAACCGGTATATTCAGCATTCATTTTATAGAAACCGAAAAGATAGTAAAAGACTATCATTTATCGCTTTAAATTACATTATACACAATAGACTGTCAGCCAATCGGAAGCCTGATCTCCTGTCCTGCCAGGCTTCCCACTGGCTAGGTGAGAGTTTAGAATCTGATGAAAATCTGTCTTTATTTTAATACATAAAGTAATTTATTTTAATATATAACATGTTATAATAGTGACCTGAATGGCCGAATGTCTAGCTGTCTGGTGCTTGGCCCACCACGTGGCTCTTGCGCTAATGATGATGATGATGATGAAATGCTTAATTCTAACTAAAAACTAATTAAAGTATCATTCATTTAAAGCAAAAATATTATTGGTGGAATAGGAGGCATGATTGACAAGGTGTGTGTGTGGGGGGGGGCAATATTTTCTTTCCTTAAAGTAAGGCATTGTGTATAATATTTTTTAAACATAAGCAATAATTTTTTCTAAATGAAATAGAAAACATCAGCAACAACAAAATTGAATCACGAAAAAAACCTTTTTCCAAGACACAGATGAATATGAGAATTTTCAACAGTTCCTCTGGAGCAGGAGTCTCCAAACTACGCCCCGCGGGCCAAATTCGGCCCGCCGGAAGATTTTATCCGGTCCCGCGGATAGAATTTTAAATTTCCTGTCCGAGGCAAATTAAAAGAAATAAATTTATACATTATATATCCATCTCCTTTTCTACTTTGATTAAATATATTTTTTTCTTCCTTTTTTCAAAGGATTGATGATCTTTTTTACTTTCTCTTTTTTTTGTTCTACAAAACCAAAATCGACGGAAATAGCAAGCACAGACAGCTTTCAATCGGAAAAGATTTGCAGGTTGAATGAATTGAGTTGCAATCTAACAATCATCTCAAGCAGTTGTTTCTAAATATGCAAAAGTTAGAGTTTTGCAAATCATTATCGAAAGTAGGTTTCCCAAATTCAATATCTCACGGCCAGAAAATCAGTGCTGTGTTTGCTTCCTCTTATACATGTGAGCAAGTGTTTTCAACTACGAATCTTGGAAAGAATCATTTCAGAATTAAACTGACAGATGAGCATTTGTGATTCCTTATAGTATAAGGAACTTTTAAAAATGAAATCTCGATTTCATTCTGCTCATTAACATATTTAAATTGTAATACTTGTATATTGTTTTTAAAATGTTAGCAAAATTTTTCTTGGCCCGCCGAATTTTTTTTTTCAATTTTTGGCCCGCGGCCGAAAAAGTTTGGAGACCCCTGCTCTAGAGAGATTGATAAATAATTTTCTCTTTTTAATTATACAATTAAGCACATGAGCCGAGAAAGTTCTAGAAACAGTATGAATGAATAAGAAAAATCGACCTGCTAATTTCGTTTAGGATATATTGAAATATAAATTTACGGAGTTATCTCGTTGGAATATTTGATACGAGAATTCACATTTTAAGTCAAAAAGTATTGCTTTCAAAAGTAATTAAAAAATTATTGTTTTCGAAAGTAAGTCAAAAGTAGTATACGACAGGTGCTTTTATTTAAAAAAAATTTTTTGTTAGTGTATTGGAAACTATGAAGTTAAAATATTTAACTACAAAAATCTTTTGTGATAAATTTCTGTTCTTAGTTCTGATGATATTAGAGAATACTTTCAATTCAAAACAAATTATGAATTATATATAATGATTTATATACATCTATATATACTTTTTATCTATCTATCTATATACTTAACATTTATCTATCTATCTATATACTTAATATCCATTTGTATATTTAATATCCATCTATCTATCTATATACTTAATCATCTATCTATATACTTAATATCTATCTGTTTATCTATATACTTAATATCTATCTGTTTATCTATATACTTAATATCCATCTATCCATCTATATACTTAATATCCATTTATCTTATCTATATACTTAATATCTATCTGTCTATCTATATACTTAATATCTATCTGTTTATCTATATACTTAATATCCATCTATATACTTAATATCTATCTGTCTACCTATATACTTAATATCTGTTTATCTATATACTTAATATCCATCTATATACTTAATATCCATTTATCCATATACTTAATATCTATCTGTCTATCTATATACTTAATATCTATCTGTCTATCTATATACTTAATATCTATCTGTTTATCTATATACATAATATCTATCTGTTTATCTATATACTTAATATCTATCTGTTTATCTATATACTTAATATCTATCTGTTTATCTATATACTTAATATCCATCTATCTATATACTTAATATCCATTTATCTATATACTTAATATCTATCTGTCTATCTATATACTTAATATCTATCTGTCTATCTATATACTTAATATCTATCTGTTTATCTATATACTTAATATCCATCTATATACTTAATATCCATTTATCTATATACTTAATATCTATCTGTCTATATACTTAATATCTATCTGTTTATCTATACACTTAATATCTATCTGTTTATCTATATACTTAATATCTATCTGTCATCTATATACTTAATATCTATCTCTCTATCTATATATTTAATATCTATATACTTAATATTTATCTCTCTCTCTCTATATATATATATTATTTATTTATATATCTATTATTTATTTTAAATAAGACTGTTTAAGATGGGAAAATTAAGCAGGCAGTTTGATGTTAAGGTACGTAACTTTTTTTACCGGAAGGAAGGAATAAGTAAGTCTCGAGAGTTAATAATAACCAAAATAAGAATTATGATAAATAAATCTATTAATTTTATTAAAAATACGTTTTTTGAATACATCTTTTAATTTATGCAACTGTCAATAATCATGCAACTATAATAATTACGATTATATGCTTTAAATTATGTTGGGAAATTTAAAGCAAATTATTTCATATAGCCAATCTATGACCGATTGTCATATTAAACATCAAAATAACCAATTCATTTTATGTACGGAACAGGCGAATTCATATAATAACGAAAAAAAAAAAATCATTTCTTTTCTCCCACTCCAGAAATAATAATTTTTCCAGATTTCACTCTATCATCAAAAAAAAAAAAAAAAAAAAACCGGAACGACACTCGGAAAGTAAAAATCCGGAAACGAAAGAGAAATACATATATATGAAAAAATAATAATAATAAAAAAAAACTCAACATCCGCCTTCCCTAAGAAAAAATATTAATACCAAAAAAAAAAGAGAGAAAAGAAAGGAAAAGAAAGAAAAAAGAAAAGTTACGACGCTCCTCCCCTCCTGCAAGTGGTGGAACGCGCGACGGGCATGAAACCACGTGACTCTGTTTATTGTGTCGGTTACATCAACGCGAACAGTTCCTCCATTTGCCGAACTTTTTTCCCCGTTTTACGATTTTCGAATGTTTCAAAAATGGATGGCTAATTTCCACCGACGATTCCTGATGTTCCTTTCCGAGGAAGGTGTGCTTTCGATTATTCCTCATAGCCATAGCAAAGCAGCTTTAGGCTTTCTTCTTCTGGGCACACTAGTGACCTAATTTCGGTCCGACTCGATTTTTAACCCAGTTTTTCCTCGCGCCTGCGCCGTAGCGCTCGGCACAGCGAAAGTGAAGTTGTTGCGGACAGAACGGAGCGATCTCGGAAGCGTAACATTAAGCCTTGCCCTTGATCCGAAGCGGCTCTACTTCTCGACCTGCGACTTCTTTTTTTTTTTTTTTTTTTTCGTTCGGAACCTTCCATTTTTTTTTCTCCTTTTCCGACAACAAGTTGTGTGTGTGCTGTGCTGTAATTGTTTTTTGTGTGTGGATGTTTACGCTCTCGATCTGAGAACGAAGGAAAGACCTTCGGATTGGAGAAACCGACGGTGATCGTTTGTGTGAATCGCACGCCGGTGCTGAGTGTTGGCGGCGAAGTTATGTTGGTGGATGGGACCAACTCCGCAGCCGACATGAGCAGTGATTCCACCGTAACCACGGTGGGCCCCCAACCCAGCCAGGATGACCCCATCGAAATTACAGGTATGTACTTTTTTTTTTTATATTCTTAACTTCCTGCTAAAATTTTTAATAAAAAAAAACACTTATACTTCGTTACATTTTGAAGAGAAAATTTCATTTTTTCCTATGTTCTACAATAATTCTAATACATGACGTAGAGGATTAAAAATCCTACATTCTAGATCTATGGCTGTGTCAATAAATGAATATGTCATTTACGATCAGTTCTTATAGTGCAAGTCCAGATCTGTCACTTTTAATTCTGTAGTTAAGATGAATTTGCAATTGTAGTTTATATTGTGTGCAAATTGCAGTTTGTATTTTCTATAATTGTGGATATTTAATACATTTTTATTAACTTCCTACTGAATTTTTAATATGAAATACATATAATTTCTTACATTTTGAAGAGAATATTTCATTTTTTTTTCTATGTTCTATAATAATTTTTGCGCGCCTCAATGATGTAGAGGATTAAAAATCCTGCATTCTAGATATATGGCTGTGTCAATAAATGAATATGGCGCTTACGATCAGTTCTTATAGTGCATCTGTCACTTTTGACTTTTAGTCGAGATGAATTTGCAGACTTAAGTTTGTTTTATTAAATATCCTTAATTATAGAGCAAGTTTTTATTCTTAACTTCCCACTGAATTTTTAACATAAAATACATATAATTTATCATTTTGTCTCTCATACCCACTATACTTGTTGCGCTCCTAAATGGCGTAGAGGCTTTCCCACCGAAAGATGCAGTCCGACCAAATTTTTCGACCCCTTCAGGATCCGACATTTTTTTTTTTTTTTTTTTTTTTATGGCTGTCAAATTTTGCGCTTGCAATTGTAGGCCTTAACAGTCCTAGGGTTTACGATCAGTTCTTATAGTGCAAGTCTGGATCTGTCACTTTTAATTATGTAGTCAAGATGAATTTGGAAACTTAGTTTGTATTATTAAATATCCTCAATTATAGAACAAGTTTTAATTGTTGTATTTTAAAAAAGCATTTGGATAAATTAAAT